GAGGGGACGGGCCGGGGGCTCGCGGGAGAGCTCCGCGCAGTGCCCTCGGTGGGGGCGGTGGGTTCGCACTCTTGGAAGGTGCCGAGAGAAAGAGGGGGCAAGCAGTACTCGGCGAAGCGCCGGTTGGGATTCTGGGCAGCAGCTGCAGCCCTGGTTCCGTTTTCTGTACTGGTGGTGCACGTCTGGGGGTCCCGGGCCTGCAGGAGGGCGGCGCGATGTTAACTGCTCAGCTGGCACCTCTGGGGTCTTTTTTTGTCACGATAACGGTCCGGGAGAAGTCACGTTTTTGTCGCTCTGATGGGTCAGTGTCATCTGATGTCTGAGCAGGTGACCGGCTCCAAAGAGGGGAAGCGCAGCGTTCAGGCTCACTGTCAGCCAGACAGTATTCACAAATACCTAAATATTCTCCAAAATATTGTTTCTGACTAGGGAAAAACTAGTTAATTTCACACAACAAAGAAAATTGAAGCATTTGTGCGTGCATTTGTTAGAATGAAGTTGCTTGCTGTGATGCCAAGATGTTGTGCGTTACCTAGGAATGTATGCGAAAGTACATATACACAGTGTTACAGCTTCAGCGGAAATCCTTCATTTTTGTAAACAATGAATAAGCAGGTTAGTCTGTTTCTTTTCTTGGAGAGAAATTCAGAAGTACTTTTCACTTTCCTCAGTGCACCCATCATAGTTAGTTATTGATGAGAATGCTGGAGCTGAATGGGAAGCGACAAACGTTAGAATTTTTTTCTAGATGAGATGAAACTTACTTATTTCCCGTGTGAAAGGGGCCTTTGAAATTCAATTGACTTCTATTTGATTCTGTCTCAGCACCCTTGTATGTACAGGAAAAAAGAATATCAGTCAGTATGGCTTTGCTCACAGGAGTTGTTGATCTGAGGAAGATGAACAGAGAGTTCCTAGGTTGTGCCTTTTTAAGGTAAAATGGATTAAAATACTGCTACACTTTTTGCCCACTATTTTTCTGTTTAATGACTAGGCAGATGTTACAAATGTGCCTTTTACCCTAGTAGAGACAAACCCCTAAGCACAAAGGCAGTCATTCTTTGTTTCTTCTTGTCCTTCTGTAGCTTGATTACAAATTCAAAAAGACAATTTTGAATATAAAACTGATTAATATAGGTAAGTAGTTAACTATTGCAAAACTGGATATTTCACTTCTCGTAATTCTTTTTCTTTTGAAGGTCAGATACAGAAACCAGCCAAAGTTCTCAATACAGTTTTGAATCACTACCCCAGAAGATTTGTCTTATCTGCGGTGATGAGGCTTCTGGTTGCCACTATGGAGTACTTACCTGTGGAAGTTGTAAAGTCTTCTTTAAAAGGGCAATGGAAGGTACTCATGATGCCATTGTTCCTAATTATCTGAAATACATCTCTTTAGGCACTACTAAGGACATACCTTTTATTTATTGCTAATGTTTAAAAATGTTATCATTGTAGTAATGTTTTTTGTTTTGGCAACTCTGTTTAAAAATTACAGTGAATGCTAAGTAAATTATTTCTTAATTGATTTTGATATTATTAGTTGTTTTAATTTCATTATTTGCTATTTATTATTTACCGCTTCTGAGTTAGTCTTTCTGAGCCAGCAGAGTTTCTTAAAAATCTTGTGTACTACACATTTTTTTAAAAAACTGTAAATGCTATTCAAAGGAAAATTTTGTGGTTATGAACTAATGACAGGCAGATAAGAATTTATTTTGGCTTCATTCTGTTTTTGAATTAGTGGAATTTTTCTTGCTTGTGAGATGCAGAATTTGGCTTCCTGACAATTATGGAAGTATTTAAAGTTTGAATGAACTATTTCAAGTCATAATAATAATAATAATAAGTGGGTTTGACTTTTCCAAATAGCTGTTAAATTACAAAGCAATGTTGCAGGTTTAATAAATCAGTAGCATTACCTATGTTTATTTTTTTCTTTTTGGATTATATCATGTGCCTTGTCCACTGAGATTTTAAATATGAATACAAGAGCAGATTGCTTTTTATAGTTAAACTGGTGAAGCAGTAAAACAAATCCTTCTACATTTTATGTTTTATCACCTTTTCTGATTTTTAGCTGATCCTGTCAGAACTAGGATATTCAAATTTCTGCTCCATATACTTAACAAAACCATTGTTACAATGCATAGGATTCCTTAAAATAAAACAAATTGCATCATGTATTTTCTTGTTGTGATACATAGTTTATTCAACTTTTATAGAGCTTATTGATCTTCAGATGAAAAGGGGAATACTGGAAAATTAAAAACTTAGCAAAATAATGTAGTTAGATTTTTTGTTTCAGTGTGCTGTTGTGTTCTACTTTAAGCATATGTTCATGTTCTTCCTTAAACGTACTAGATTCTTGCAAAGTGATAACACGAGACTAGGTGGGCTAGATGGACTTTTGAGCTAGTGTCACACTTTAATACATTTAATGGGATTCATGAGAAAGCCATTAGAAACGTACATGTTAGGCTGCAAGGAAAACACTTGCCTCTTAAGTCACTTGCAGGAATACATTTAAGTTTCACTGATTGTGTTAACTGTTCTCTTGGTTTGACTTTACATTTTTTGCTATGTTTATTTTGGTAAATCAGTTATATACTTTAAAAAAAAGTCAGGAGGCGGAAGTTTTAAGAATTGACTGTAGTATAATTTATGAATGCCATATTTTCAAATAAGTTTCATTATTCACTTTTCACATATATAGTAATATTTACATTTTTTTCCTTTGATTCTCTTTTGAATTTCATCTCTTTCCTAAACTAGTATCCAGTTGTGTTTGTGCAGTAGATGAACCTGCTCAAAAACATCTTATTACTGTTCAGTATAAATATTTTAATGATAAATGTTAAGAAAGTATATAAATTGGTATTAGGAATTTCTTAAGGTTGTTTTCACTGATTACTTAATCAAAGTCTGTATTTGCAGAATCTTACCAGAGTAAGATAAAGTTACAGCGAAATAAAAGGTCAACCCAGTTACACCAACAAAATGCTTGTTTTACATAGCAACTTCATACTTTAAATTATTTCAAAGACTGTGAGTATGGTGAGAAAGGGTGTTTTGTTTATTTTCAGTGAGAATATTCAAAGAAGGGACAGCTATCTCAGACCACTTGACTATAATAACAAAAAATACAGGTTTTTGAGTCTTACGGGGAATAATGACAGGCATAAGCGTGTGGGCATGGGCAAGATGAGCAAATACAGGTACTTGTTTTTGTGTAGAAAGTGCGAGTCTACCGAGAGTTCCTTAAGGAGGTGGACTTCTTATTTTAATTAAAACATAGGATATAATTACTAGTGTTGAAATAATCCTGTTTATGGATAGATACTTGATTTCATTTGGACTTAAAAGTGCTTTTTTTTTGTTTATTTCTTACAGAAATAAAGTTGACAAATTACTCTTCTGTAAGAGGAAACAATATTTTTGTTGTAAATGCAATAGAAAATAGTGTTTGAAAATTCACAATGGCAACTGTATACATTTGAGACATTTTTCATATGTAAAATGGCCCCCTACCCATCATTTCTTTGAGTGGGAATGCATTATTTACCTTCTGAAATTTTTAGTACTACTAGAGACCTGGGGTTTTTTGAATGATAATTCATGCAAATAACGTTAAACTTTATGAGTGCAAATTCATGATAAAAACTCTACTCGTCATTTACTTTTCCTAACTTACTGATCACTATGAGAAGTTAAAACAAGATTGGAAATAGTAGCTTTTGCTACTTCTTGGATTTTCTGTATTTGATCTTTTTCATATGTTATGAAGTTTGCAAGTGCATAGATGACAAGGTACATAATATAGTGGTATTAAATTTTTGGAAAATGTCTACTTTCTATTTTAATTATTTCTGTAGTCTCAGATATGTTGTCTGTTTCAAATCAAATAGCCTATATAATTTTTTTTTTCACAGAAATTGTCCTATTCTTACTCCATTTATTTTATTCTCTCCTAGTGTGTGGAAAATTAGATAAATGCTTCTTTTGGGAGAAAATGGACCATTACGTTATCCAGAAAACTCAATTTTCCGTCTCTAATAATTTTGAAATAAAACCAGAGCTTATTTAAAATACTCAGACTGAGCGATTGTTTAAAACTGTATAGGCGAACCTGGAAATGTTTCAATACCAAGTATGATTTAATCATACATCTGAATAGAACTTGTAGATACACATATAGCTTAGGAGGGCCAGAACTGTATGAGGATGAAAGTGTAGGTTTAGAAGGAGATTGTTTTAGAATGTTTCTTGGCAATGAATTCTTAAATAGAAATGATTTGGTAGATCTTTGTTGTCTTTTGAGTTCTTGGCTCCCCATATGTGCCTATATATGCAAAAAAAAAAAGGATGATATTAATACAATAAGCATATTTTACTCTAAGCAGAATCTTGAAGTAAGTTAAATAAAAATGCAAGTCCTTTTTTGGGAAAACTGTAGTATAGCAGATACGAAAAAAGTCAGTGCTGGAAGTAGGGAGGAGAAAAGGGACGAAGATACTTTTTTTTTTAAGGAAACATTTTTTTGCATTTAGAGGTTGTACATTTTCTGTTGGTCCCTTACAAAGAACTGATTTACTAGTCCATTGATTCACTTAATGTACAAATTACAAGGCTTTTAAAAAATGCTTTAAAGATCTCCTTTGGGTATAATGAAAAAAAAAGTTACTGCTATTTGTATTTGCTTAACAAACTTGAAAAGACAAAATTGGGTTCAGTAGGCTGATAGCATTGTTCCTGTCAGTAAGCTGAGAGTGATAAGCAGATTCATGTATTCAGAAATAATATTTAAAATGCTTTCAGATATGTAAAATTAGGAGGTTTGCAAAGTAATTTGGTTTTGATGATCAGGCATTATTTAAGTGCTACCAATGTATCTCATCTTTGGTTCATGGTAACAAAAATAGGGTATAATATTTATAATGGGACTTTAGGAGAATGAAGATTACAAAATGAACTCTTACTTTTTTAGCACTAAGTTATCAAACAGTCATTAATGATGTATTGTAAAGACATCTTCACATAAAACCATGCAGGGCAACCATGATCAAAATGCTTGTGTAACACCCCAGTAAAATTCTGTCCTGAAGAGGAACCTAGTGTGTAGAATTTTGGGATTCTGGAGTTCTGCTGCTGCTAACTCGTGGTTTCTCAAGGGGCTGCATTCTCACCTTTTAGTTGAAAGCATCTCCTTTGCCGTAGTTTTACTGGTGAAAAATTAATATAACCTAGATCCTGAAAAAAAAGTTTAAAGTGCTGTGTTTTCTGTATAAAGTCCCACTTCTCATTTTTGTTCTATAGTAATATAAACCATTTTCCTTCCTTTACGCTTTGTTTACGATATTGACATCTAATGAAAAGTAGTTTCTGAAACCTGTAGAGTTTGAGGCCAACATAAATACATTGTATTACAGCAGATGGATCAGAAGTTAACTTGATTTTTTTAAATACCTGGGACCCTGTTACAAAATTGATCAAATGATTGTACAGCAGGTGTGTCTGGTTTTAATATGTGCTTCAAGTTCAGGGTAACAGCTCTAGATAATAGAGATAACAGCATCTAGGTAATAGCATCAGGCAACAAGCTTGATCATATGTAGCAGAAAACATTTAACTGACGATGTGGGAACTTTTCTTCTCTCTGAGACCTGAATTTGTCAAACTCCTTTTACCTGACAGAAAGCAGGGTTTCCACAAGCTTTCACTATGTATATGGAGAGCTAGTCGTGGAGGAGTTAAAGATGAGCTACATCTACGCAGTAACTGCATCTACATGTTACTTCAACCAAACTTTCTGATAAAGTTTATCTGCTTGTGTTGTTTATAGGCAGTTTTGTGATGACAGTGTGATTCACTGTGTAAGGAGTGAAATACTATGCCTGAGGAAAATTGCTGGACTAAACAGTTATGCTTTTCCATAGCTTAAGAATGTAAAATGACACAGCATGCCAAATATTTTTAAAAATGTCAACCACTAATAGAAAATTCTCTTTGGAAACAGAGTGAAATGCAATATTATAGAGACTCTTTTGGCTGTGAAATTGATGAGGCTGATGTAAAAAGTTCGTTTTTCTCCTGATTCTGCAGGGATTTCTATTTTTAATTCAACTTTCCAGACTGGGTCTTGGGATCAGAATTTTGTACAGTGTGTACTGTAAGCCTGATAGTGATGAAAGTTTCATGAAGTGGAAAACATACAAACATGCAAAGCATACATATGGCAAGTTGAGAGATGAAAATGCTTTCAGATAACATAACATTTAGTATTATTAGTGTTTCCAAATTCAGATAAACACAGTTGCTTCATTGAGGGTCCTAAAATTAAAGCAGGAAATG